CAAACAAAAGTAATAAAATTGAATAGAACTAAATATACCTTCCCCCAGACAAAATCTAATAAGATCAGTGGATTTTACCAATGTCAATATCCTGGTTCTGATTTTATACTATAATTTTGCAAGATGTGACCATTGGAGGACTATGGGTAACAGGTACATGGGACCTCTCGGTTTTATTTTTTACAACTGCAAGTGCATCTACAATCACCTCAAAATGAAAAATTTAATTAAGAAAAACCTAAATATGTTCAAGTGAGTCACAGAGCCAGGAACTTCTAAAAATACATTTTCTATAACAATTTTTTACTTTAGAATTATGCAAATCTCACTTAGTTTTTTCTGAAGTTGTTCTAAAAACAATGTGTATTTTTTCTGAAGTTTTTTTTTTTTTTTTTTCCTATTCATCACAGCACACTAAACATTCACTGTGGTTGAACACACAATCTAGGACACTGGGTATCCATAACAATAATCTGGACTAAATAACATGTAAAGAACAACCATTTAGAGATATGCTACCCATGTCATGCATCTCTCCTCTACCATACATGTGGTTCACAACATGATAAAGAATCAAAATATTGGACCCTAGGAGGCCAAGGATTCTCCCCAACCCCTGAACTCATGATGTCATCCTCAGAAGACCCCTGTTGGGCCTAATTTTCTTGCGAATAGAATCATTGTGTAGACAAACATCAAAGATATTGGGTGTATCCTTTTTTTTTTATTCATCCATTTTGCAGGAGTGCTAAGGACACAAAGATTGGTTTCGAATAACTGTCTTCTTTTCATATGTGTTTTGCTTTCCCAAATATAAACCGAAAACTGGGTTACCCACCGAGAGAAGAAGGTTAAATAACTGCTGCTTAGCTTTTTTCATTTATACTGGATTTATTTTTTCTTTCTGAAATAGAAGTTTCAGGTGAGAAATATCTGCTGGGAAACTTTGATTCCTTGATACTAAAGATTTAATAAACTGCCCAAGCCTATAGAAGATTCAGTTCTTTGTTTTCTTAAGAAGATTAATCACTTTTGAGTGAAAATGAGAGAAGAGATTAGAGGAAAGATATTTATTTTGCTTTGTTTCTAGCTAGAAATTAGAAATAGCCACTAAGAGAGCCCAGTCAAGTAACTGCCAAGGTGACCGTAGCTAACAACCCTCCAAATTATTACCATGGATCGCTGCCTTTCGGTTCTTTAATTCCCTTTTCCACTAAATCAGCCTTTCTTTATATTCTGTCCTGTCTTTGCTGCTGCTTATTTTTTAAAAGAAAAGTATTGATTTATTTTTTATTATTTTTGTTTTATCAGCAATCTTTATTAATTAATTTATTTTTATTAAAGATGCCAGTCATTTCCCCCCATTGTTACCCAAGTCCCCGCTCCCATCCCCCCTGCCCTGCCTTCACTGCACTGTTGTCTGTGTTAATCTCTTCTCTCCCTCTCCCTTCATTCTGAGGTTTGTTAGTCTGTTCTCTACTTCCATATCTCTGGATCAATTTTGTTCATTAGCTTATTTTGTTCGTTAGATTCCATGAATAAGTGAGATCATGTCATGCTTGTCTTTCTCTGATTGGCTTATTTCACCTAGCCTAACTCTGTCTAGGTCCCTCCATGTCATATCAAAGGGTAAGAGATATTTCTTTCTTATGGCTGCATAGTATTCCAATGTGTAACTACCCCTTCTTTTTATCCACTCATCTACTGATGGGCACTTAGATCGTTGCTAGATCTTAACTATTATAAATACTGCTTCTATGAACATAGGGGTACATATATTTTTACTGAATGGTGTTTCAGGCTTCTCAGGATATATTCCTAGAAGTGGAATCACTGGGTCAATGGCTGTTCCATTTTTTATTTTTTTGAGGAAACCCCACATTATTTTCAATAGTGGCTGCACTAGTCTGCATTCCCACCAGCAGTGGACTAGAGTCCCCTTTTCTCCACACCCTCGCCAACACTTGTTGTTTGATGATTTGTTGATGGCAGCCATTCTGGCAGGTGTGAGGTGATATCTCATATTCATTTCAATTTGCATCTCTCTGATGATTAGTGACTTTGAGCATTTTTTCATATGGTTCTTGGCCCTTTGTATGTCCTGTTTAGAGAAGTGTCTGTTCAGGTCCTCTGCCTTTTTAATTGGATTATTTGTCTTCCTTTTCTTGAGTTGTATGAATACTCTATATACTTTGGATATTAACCCCTTATACAATGTATCATTGGCAAATACGTTCTCCCATACAATGTGTTACCTTTCTATTTTGATGCTGGTTAGTTCCATTTATTGATTTTTTTTCCCTTTGTTTCTCTTGCCCTAGCAATGTATCAGTGAAAATTCTGCTATGTGTGATGTCTGGGATTTTGCTGCCTACCTTTTCTTCTGGGATTTTTATGGTTTCACCAGTTACATTTTATCTATTTTGAGTTTATTCTTGTATGGTATATGTTGGTGGTTTAGTTTCATTTTTTTCCATGTTCCTGTCCAATTTTCCCAACACCATTTATTGAAGAGACTGTCTTTACTCCATTGGATGCTCTTGCCTCCTTTGTCAGATATTAATTGACATAATGTCTTTGATCAATTTCTGGGTTCTGGGTTCTGTTCCATTGATCTATATGCCTGTTCTTGTGCCAGTAACAGGCTGTTTTGATTATAATGGCTTTGTAGTATAACCTGTTATCCAGAATTGTGATTCCTCCAAATTTGTTCTTCTTTTTCAAGATTGTTGTGGCTATTCAGGGTCCTTTTTGGTTCCATATAAACTTTTGGAGTATTTGTTCTAGATCTGTGAAATATACCATTGGTGTTTTAATAGGGATTGCATTGAATCTATAGATCGCTTTGGATAGTATGAACATGTTTGATATACTAATAATGAAAACAGAGAAAGATACACTAAAAATAGAATCTCATTTACCATTGCAAGAAAAAAAAAAAAAAAGATAGCTAGGAATAAACTTAACCAAGGAGGTAAAAGACCTGTTTTCAGAAAACTATAGGACATTGAGAAAAAAACAGAGGAAGATATAAAAAAGTGGAAGCATATACCATGTTCATGAATTGGAAGAATCAATATCATTAAAATGTCCATGCTGCTGCTTATTTTTATAAAGCGAAGAACCAACGTTTTGTGGAGTTAATTACTTCTATCAAGAGTTGAGTGGACCTGTATTTGGTCTTGGGTCACTTAATATCATATTGCACCCAGTGAATCCACTTTTAAACAAGTGGACCCTACCTTCATTCATACTTCTTAATCCAAATTAATTAAATTGTTATTGAATATAATATATATAATATAATGACTTATATAATCAATATAATATAGTGACTTTTCTTTTTATATTACATTTGTAATCAATATAATGACTTCTATTTATATCCCTTTATTTAATACCAAAGTTATCATTTTGTGAAACAGAGACTAAGTTAGCCCTGCTTCCGCTTCAGTAAGTAACCATAGTTCTGAAACACTTGGTCTCTAAAAAACCTTTCCATCATACCCTGTTAGTACTATTTGCATGATATTTTTTATGCTTTTAAGATGGCAAATTTTTAAGTTTTAACAGCGATTCTAGCAAAAGTTATACTGCCTTAGAAGCTAATCACCCACCTGGGAATCACAGATTTTGATTTTTAATTTTCTTTCTTTGACTAACTTGCCAGAATTCTAGGATAATCGCAAATTCCAGGTACATCAAATCCTTCCTTAAGTAGAGTTAATAATGTAGTAAAGATTTGGTGAGGTGGAATTCATGGATTTTAATGCTTGCAATGATAAAATAACACATGGGGATATTTGGAAATAGATCTATCATTCTACTGAACTAAAGTTCTAAACATGTAAATTCCTTATTGAAACCTGAGCCCAGTCTTTATAAGTGTTTATTCTGATTTGGGATCCTGCAGCTTTAAAAAATTGTATTTATTCATGAATAGGTTAAAAACAAGTAAAATTAAAGCAACTTTGCCATTGTACATATTGAAAACTCTTCTGAAAACTAAATAGTAAATGAGCCCTAAAATGAACAGTCAGCTTAAGCCCAGCAGGAGAGTTCCTCAGAAGGGGACAGATTTGAAAACTAACATTTTTCCATTTGCTGTATCTCTACAGAGGTGTAAATTCTAGGATGTCACATGAGCTGCTTAAGTGGGAAAACCTGCAGAGCAAAGAAAATTCTACTCTCCTGGCCATCTCAAACTCCTGTCCTCTTGTGCACCAGAATCTCTTCTTATCAGTGTACTATACCTGTCAAGAATACATATCTCATCAGAATACTTACTGTAGATCCTAAGTAGGCCACAGCTCCATCAGCTTTGTATAAGAAAATTGATAATTTCTAATATCAGGCAGGTTTGGAAAAGTGCAATCTCCTAAAGTTATAGGCTCCCATGGGGGGAGAGGGCAGTGCTGATTCCAAGGAGACACTGAACAATGCACAATCCCTCAATTCCAAGGTCCTGCTCTCTGATTTTTCCTCCCTAAACTTGAAGAATATACAAATCTCCTGGCAATGAGCTGCTGGCCTTTGTTCTGTTATGCATTTAGCAATTAATGTTAATAACAATAATTACAACAATGTTAGTAACACCAGCAGTTTGTTCTACATATACTACACGCCAGACACCCGACACTGTGTTTCTTTATGTATTATCTGATGTATGTTCTCACAGCCACCATAAGAGGTATTTTATTCTCATCTTATGTATGAAAATGTTGAAGCCAGGAGAATAGAAGTAACTTGCTTAAGATGGACTTACGTAAACACTCAAATTTCCTGAATCCAAAGTCCATCATGCCACCCTCCTTTGTCATTACTGTCACTCTTCATTAGTAGATGCTGCTGTCATGCATTAGTCATCTCAAGTGTTGGCCTGGAGATGTGATACCACGAGACGTAGGATGACTTCAGTTTTCCTGACATGGGTCTATAAATGAGCATTGCATACTGGATCATTAGCAATCTCTTTGAAAAGCAAATGCTAGTTATTCCTATGTGAGGGAGAACAAATTTCAGCTTTCTCTTCAACAACTGGATTATCGGTGGCTATGAAATGAGAGGGTGTAAACTAAGGCATGGAGATACGAATAGGTAAGCTTTCTATTCCAGGTCCTTTTCCAGCTCCCACGATTTTTCCTTTCTCTGCTCTTCTTCCTGATCTCTAATTATGTCCCCAAAATTTCTTTCTCCCACTCCCACATCCCTCTCTCATTTCCCACAATTCCTTCCTGCCTCCTTCCCACTCCTTTTTTCTTTCTGTTCTCCTCCTCCCCACCTCTAAGTCATAAACATTGTCGTCAAAGTCAACTGTCTACACAATGCGCTGACTGATGCTTGCATATTTGAGTTTGTTTTATTTTGAGTAGAAATTTGAAGACAATATCTTTGTGGCCCTTCAGGGATGGAATTAACCTATGAAGACTGACCAGAGGAGGTGTTTGTTTGGTTACGGTGGTTTTCTTGGAAGCCCTTCAATCACACTTCTTTCCCTGTAAAATCAGACTGGAGAAAAACAAACAATGATAAATTTGAGACTTCAAGTGATTGGGGATACTTGCCATGAGAGGATAAGGTGCAGGATGGCATTATGGGAAGCGTGAGTGCTGATCCTAGAGCTTATAATAAAGAACACTAGGTTTCTAATTTAAAAATAGTTACCAATATGATAAATAGCAATTTTTGACAAGGGTTGACAAACTTTTTTTGTAAAGGCCACAGAGTTAATATTTGGAGGTCATAAAGTCTCCATCATGAGTTCTGAACTTTGCCATTGTGATAAGAAACTAGCTAAAGATAATGTATAAATAAATGAGCATGGCTCTGTTCCCATACAATATTATTTACAGAAATGAGTAGACAGCGAGATTTGGCCTGCAGGGTTTGATCTTCTGACCTTGTCATAGACTCTTTATCTTTCAACGCCTTTATCCAACCAATCACCATATTTTAAATAACCTATCTCTAAACAGGTGTACTCATCTTCTTTCCTAGACACTTATAATGCGACAGTCATTGAGGCAATCAATATCTATGATTATCATATTCAGACATCCCACCACCTGCAATGTTCTATTATCTTCATATGGAGGCTTAGTAAGGTTAGATAACCTGTTCCGCACCATGCCGCTTGTTAAATAATGGGGGAAACTATGGTTTTAAAGGTCTCTTACTTACCATCCTGCACAAGGCTACTGGGGTGTTTCAATCCCAAACAAAATCAAGTTCCTTATATGATTAAAATACCTCAATGACCTGGCCCTGGCTTACCTCTCCAGCAAGAACCCATTTCCCCTTCTCCCCACCCCCTCTACAGACATTCACATTGACATAGTTAAAAACAAGGATCTCATTCATACCAAACTGCACTGTCCCATAAACACATAAAACAGTTTCTATGCCACCATCATTTGCTCATGAAGTTGTTGAGTCCCCTTCTTGCCACTCACTTTTTCACACATCCCTTCTTTCTTCTCTGCTTTTTAGTGTGTTTCCAACATTCTTCCAGGGAAATTTTTCTGACAGTTCAATTGAGCATTTAACTCTTCCTTCTGAATGTTTTTCTCTCAGGATACGTGTAATATATCATTGCATACTATTTTTGTTTCTTTTACTGTGCACTATTTTTTTTAAATCTTCACCTGAGGATGTTTTTCTATTTATCTTCAGATAGAGTAGAAGTGAGGGGGGGTAGGGGAGAGAGAGAGAGGAAGATAGAGAGAGAGAGAGATCAATTGGCTGCCTCCCAAACAACCCTGACCAGAGCTGGGGACCAAACCGCAACACAGGTAAGTGCCCTTGACCAGAATCGAACCCAAGACTTATTGGTCTGTGGGCCGACACTTTAATTGCTGAGCCAAACTGGAAGACATTAAACTAAATAAAATTTCCTTAGTATTATAGCATTCTAAGTTCATCTAAAAACTCTGGTGATGGCTATGGCCATGATTCATAAATAAAACTACTGGAATTATCTTGAAGTACAGATGTAAGAATAAAATCTAGGCAATAGGTCTATATGAACACCCTTTGAAATCTTTTAGATATTCATATAAAACTGTACTGAAAATAATTTAGCATGTAAAAGCATGAAAGGGTCATATGTCATTTAGGGCAAATTGTTTATATTAATGTGTTTATCCTATTATTTTGTGTCACGAGACATAATATCTGACTTTGCTATAGTTGTCCTATTTATCTGAGACTGGCTTTTTAATATTCTGATTTTAAAAAAATAAAAATAAAAAAACAAAACTCTGATACTACAAGGTAACCTGGAGCTTCATATGTTATGTTCCTTTGAAAACTCTTCCACAAGAGTATAACCTTGTTGAAGGGCCACATGGAAGCAAATCATTATCTTCTATAAAATTGGCAGAAAGCAGTCATGGTGTATGGCTAAGGAATAGTCAATAAGGATGAGTGAGTTGGGGGAAATAAAGCTTCTATGTGAATTAACCTGAGAATAGTGTTTACTAATGAACTATTCCGAACATGTTGGTGGCTGGAGGGAGTCTTCTCCATGTCTCAGAAGGATAGTAGTTGATAGCTAACACACTCACTCATGACAATTCTATGATTCCAGCCTGCAGTCCTGTCTCCTAACAAGGAATCCCCAGGAAACACTCATGAGATACACCTGTGAATTCTAGCTTCTAATTTCAGGGAAGCAAAGAAGACAGAAATAAAGCCACAGGACCTGTATGTCCTGATGCATTAACATTAGTTGAGAGTACAGCATGCCAGCCTTTACATAAGCAAAGGATTTTGTTATATCTTCAATTTGGATAATAATGAGAAATGTTGTTTAGAGAGTCAACTCTCATGAATAATAATAACATGCCTCAAATCATTGTAGGTAATGCTGTGGTTGAGTCCATTGCAGTTCATCAGCAACTAACAGGTAATAGGATAGGAGAAAATGAGTATATATGGTTTTAATATACATGACTTAATCTAAGGAAAATATGGAAAAAGATTTACTAGGTTTGGTGGCAAATCAAGATCCATGAAAAATCTAAGTTGACGCAGTTGAAAAAAATCCTGCTGCATATCACGGAACCATTGACATTGATCAAGGCCACACATTAAACAAAAGTAGTCTCTAAGCTCATGGTTCTTAAACTGTGCAAAGGACCTGTGCAGAGCGATGCCAGGGGATATTTTCAATATTCAACGGGAAAACAGATATATCATAGGAACTACTAAAACATTAGATTTTCCTACATTCATTTTGATGATGTCACATCTTTACAAAGACCAGACTGAAATGGTTGTGGTTATTGAGAGCAAGTACTGCAGGAAATAGGAGTTGTGCTGTACAATGTTTGAGAAGTTGTGTGGTCCCAATGCATGCACACATCCTACTCGTAAATAATTGCTGTTTTGAATTATGTCCCTAGTGTCAATGATTGTTTTACCTGAGAACTACTGCATGATGCTAAATATGTTCTCTGTTTAATTGAAGTATTACTTTACTAATAAAGTGACTCAGGCAGGCAACTCTAGAAACAACATTCAGACAGGAGTAGTCAAAACATGCAATCTTTTTTCAGGCCTATTAGCTTTATTAGCTGGTTTATACATTTATTTGGGACACAGGAAAACATGGAAGATGGTCTGGGTTGAATAATCCAGGCAAGAGTAACAACTATGAAACAATGTCATTTTTTTTTTTTTCTGAATATATTTGTTTGACCTACTTCCCTACAGTTTCAATAAGTAGTGGGCATTTTTCTTCCCCAGGCTAGGAAAACACCCAGAATGTCCTGCCTCATATGAGATATTGCTGAATAAAGCTTCAGGGGATTACTGATAGTCTCAGCCCCTGTAATGATTTTGGGGACAGAGATGCCCCAATGAGAGTCACAAGAACAGCTGGTTCCAAATAATCTATTAGGATCTAAATCCTCTTAACCATGGAGATGGGGGGCAAAGGAGGATGTTAGCAGGCTGGGGAAGAAGGGTTGCCAAGAGTAAGACGAGGTGAGAAAAGACTAGGTGAAGAGAACTGGGACAAGGCATCTGACTTGTGCTCTGACTTGTGCTTCTTTGCATTCTCTGTAGTCACACCTCCCTGTTATAAAATGAAACGCTGAGCCCAGTAAATGAGAGTAAATTTTGTAACATAAGAGGACAGCACAGTGCCCTTTAACAGTACATTCTCCTGCTTCTCCATTGGGCTCAAAGTCAAAAAAGATTACTTGAGAGGCAGCAATAATTTGATGAGCCAGCACAAGCTCTACCTGAGTGGAATGCTGTGGTCATCAGGTCTACCCTGCTGCCAGCAATTAAAAATTAACCTTGGCATTTTCAAAAAAGAATGTAGCGATTCATATGCAGCTTCTCTTCTGCTTGACAATATGTCTCTTTCTCAAGCCAAGACAGTTTACACACAGTGAACCTCTTCTGTGTGTGATGTGCAAAGCTAGGTCATTAGCACACCTGCCAGGTAGGAGAGAGGGAGGGAAAAAAAAATCTTCCTCTTGGTAAACTCATTTTAAGACATTCAGGTTCACAGTTTGTCCTTTGAACACCCCAATTACCTCCCCTTGCCCTTACAAACAAGTGGTGTGAATTTTAATCAGCTGGAATGCAATCAATGGCTGGAATAAACCATGTTGTTATATCATCTTCACAGAGAAAAGCTACTCACATGCCTACACTAGATGTATCTCTGGTTTTTACAAGGGTGGAATGTCCTTGCTATGGACCGAAACAAACAATGTTTTATTTTTGTTTCAACCTCTGTTGACTTTCCTCTACATTGCATTCCCCTCCTCTGCCAGAGCCCCAGTTCTGAGAATAATTAGCAACACCCACTGGTGATAACAGGGCCACAGCAACCTCACAGTGATATCTTGCCGGCGCCAGCTGCGCCTCAGTATTTATTTATGAAGCTCACAATATTTACACAGTATGAACTCATTGAGATGGTGGGGGATTGAGCAATGCTCCAGCAGCTAAATTTCATCTCTATTTTTAAATAGAGAGGAAACAATTTCTAGGCTGTGTACTGTTTACTCCTCTGGATAGGAGATTCAAGCTTCTAATTCCAGTTCAGTCCTGTTTTCTGGTAGTTTGGTGTAAAGCCC